AGGTGGATGTCAGGGGTATCAAAGCTTAAATCTGACACTTGCATTAAAAATAAAGAAAAAAACACTGTCAGGGCTTAACGCTATAAGAAGTGAAAATGATCTTTTAAAAATATAGCTCAAGTAACCTCACCTCTGTAACCAAAACCATCAAAAGTTTCCGTATTATGCTTTAATTAAATTTAAATGCCTCACTAAGACTAAAATGCCCTAATAATTTGGCCCATGCCAGTCTCCCTGACCCCATCTCCTGAGTATCTGCTCCAGTCATAGCAGGTGCTTTTGCCCCCAGAACACACTAAGCTAGTGCCTGCTTTTTAATTGATGTCCCTTTAGCCCAGAAACTCTTGCTCCTGGCCTACCTTCACTTGGATTAATTTCTTTATTCATCACATCTCTGCTTAGATGATATTCTTTTTGATTATCAAAAAAGAGTTCACCTGTGGATCTCTGGGTCCTTACCCTCCTTTCTTCTTAGCCCCTCCCTTTGTTTGAAATTATATTGACTCTTTAGTGCCTGTTCCCTCTCTGCTGGCTCTGTGAAGACAGGGCTCTGTGTCTGGAACACTACCCTTCTCCAGCACCCAGCACAGGACCTGACATAGAGTGTGTGTTCAATTAATGTTGACTAACTAAATAAACCCTCAATTTGCACATCAAAATTTATCAGAAAGTTTTATAAATTCTATCTCCAAAATATATTTTCAATTGTCCACTTCTTGCTATATGCCCTTGAGGAAAACCCCCATCTAAGGGAAACCCCATCTCTGGCTAGAATGATTGCAGAGGTCTTCCAACAGGACTTGGCTTCTGGCCTTATCACTCCCTCATTCATGCTCTATATAAATTGTGAATATGAAATTCACACTTTGTACATGAGCAACAAAGCTCCATGCAATCTTGTACTCACCTGACTTTCCCACCTCAGTTTGACACACTCTCCCTCTCATTATCTGCACTCTGGACATTGAGAGGAAGCAGTTTTTCACCCCAAAATATGTTTTTTGTATATAAATTATTTTAGTCTGTTTAATTTTAAGAAACAAAAGACTCAGAAAGAACCTTTTGCTGCCTAAAGGATTTTAGATAGACAAACCTGCTTAAAAGAAGGAAGTTATCAATTTAACATAACATGAACTATGTGAGGCAGACAGAGAGGAACTGCACAAATTTGGTCGGGCTCCCTCTGCCTCCCAGTGTTTGGATGGCTGAGCAAGACTTTATTGACCATGTTTGCTCTTTCTCATCTACCTGTGAGTTGCCGATTTTCCCCTTTGAAATCCCAGACCCGTTTCCTCCTTAGTTCAGAATGGCATATAAGCCTTAACTACCCAATGTGTCCCCAGACCCCATATTCTTAGGGAACACTCATAAGGGTAATAGTATGAACAGAATTCTGACCCGGGTTCTATCCTCCACCCACACCACCCCCTAAGGTGGGGTCCTCCCAAGACCCAGTCATTTGACTTGGAGCACTGCCGATAGCGTGAGAATCAGAGCTGGGACTGCACATGGGACATCTCTGGAGGCCTGCCCTTTTAGTAACATCAGCCCAGAGGAATCTCTCTTTCCCAAACCCCAGCAGTCCTTATTTCCCCAACCACAACCCCCAGTCCTGCAATATCCTCTATTTGATTTATATCTACCTAGCCTCCTGGGCCACTTTATCATCTCCTCACTCCTCATATAATGTTGACTCAATCAATCATTTACTAAGTACTTTCCATGCACCAGGCCTTACGTTGGCTGCTAATGGAGAACAGTGATTGTGCTTCCCCCAGGAACCTACTTTTCCTGGAAGTTTTCATCTCCTTTGCTGTGGTGTAGAGCATGGGCCTGATGAGTTCAGACATGGATGAGTCAATAACAAAGAATTCTAAATACCCCATCAACTGGAGAGTATTCTCAAGAAGATATAACCAGAAATGAGTCCATTAAACGAAGACTCTTCTTCTTACCCAGGACTTTTAGATCCAGACTTCCACCTACTGTCTGCCCTGGTAAGCCAGCTTTCCTTCATATAAGCTTTCATGCTTCCTTTTCCCACACATGAGAGATGAAAGCAACAATATTTCCATTTTTTTCTTATACCTGCCTGGTCTTCCCACGATGGAAATTAGAGACTGTATATGTACATCTTCTCCAGTCAGAGACAGCCCAGAGCACTTGCCTTACTAGTTTCAGAAAACAGAGAGGCAATACTTTTATCTTTATTTTCCCTAACAGCATCATAAACTATAGTTCCTTTGATCTGAACAAGAACTCCCCCACTAATACGAAGACTGAAATAGGGGATAAAAGGGGCTTCGAAATTTGGTGCTCTGCCTAGAGACTGAACCTTAAAACAGTAGGTGAAATTTGCCCCAAAAGTTCTTTTTATCTCTATGCTACCTACAAGTAGCTAAAATAGTTTTCTCCAAGTAACCTGGGTTCCACAAAGAGGGTCTGCTTCTCCCAGTCCCTGAAAGGACCTCCAACACTGAAAATCTGACATTTAAACACACAACATAGTCACTTGTACCATAGCAGTATACTCCATCAAAGACACGTTTCTTTCCTTGACAGAAAGTAGCATACTTTTAAAAAATGTTTATAATTTTTTTTTGCGGTAAAACTCTAACAGATTGTGTTATGTTTGTATGCTTATACACAGGGACATAACCTATGCAGATGTGTATTTACATGTGAATATGCACTGTGTGTTGGTACATTTTACCATAGTGTGCTTACCAGTATGAGCCAATGGGCACATTTATGTGTATGGGGACTGGAATGCATGGTTCACTCACTTGGTTTATGAATTGTAATAAATAACACATTCACCCTAGAAGTACAGAGGCAACAGGAAGCATTCCTGAGTGCAAAGTAAAATTTAGTCCAAGATCCCAAGGGGCACTTCCTTTGTGTGACACATGCCCCACCTCAGTGTCTTCCTATGTAATGGCCCTTCTGCTGGAATACTCTTCCCATGTCCTTTCAATCTTTACCTACTTCATTCTTATTTCGCAGATAGTAGCTTAGAGTGCATGCTCACAGTAGTCTTCCTTGCCTCTCGAGACTTGATCAAATTTGTTATGCTATTTCACACTTCCTTATTTTGTTTTCATAACATTTTTCATAGTTCGTGATTACAAATTAGCACTCTTTAAATACAGTATTGTTTGAAAACATCCTGCCTTGTTTCAGGGACTGTAGCCTTGCTGACAGACAAGAGGGCCCCAAGACTGGAGCTGAGCAAGGAGGCCTTGGGAAAATAGGCCACTGAGGAGACAGAACTTGTTCACTTGGCAGTGGTGCAGCCCCTGCCTCCCTCACATCACCCTGCTTGGCCCTGGAGGATGGCTGGTGAGTCAATGATGGGTAAGACCCCTCGATGGCAGGAACAACCTAAGACAGGCACAGTCACATGGGGCCATCATGGGAAGGATGTGGGCGACATGGAGAAAGGGGCAAAAGACCCTCATCCCTTGGTTTTGTCATGGCCGGAGTCCTCATTCTATCTGAAAGAAGTCTTTTTATCTCTTGGCTGCTCTATCTACAGCCTGACCAATGAAACAATACTAAAGACAGGTACAGCCCTAAGTTGGATCTGGCAGTTCCTGGGAAGAATTAGGCCTGGAAAAGGAATGCATTAAATCCTATGAAACTTACTTTGCTAAGAATGCCCTCAAGTTGATGAGTATTGATGTTTGGGGTTGAGCATAGAATGTGATCAGTTTCCCAGGTTCCAGGGCTGAGTGGGCGCCGCCCTGTCTACCAGACCCTGACCTGAGGCAAATCTCTTGTGTTCCTTCAATTGTTATCTATGATCTCTATTTGTTTTCTGTAAACATAGCCTGCTGACATTGATTGATGAGCTTTGCATCCATCCTGTATCTCCAGGCACACATAGTTCTCAATAAAAGCCATTTCAAAAGAAGGGCTTGGAGCATTCTCCACTAGAGGGAATCGCCACCTTTCCCTGGCAGACTGAGAAAAGTGTCTGGGATGACTTATTTTATTTCCCCATCCGTGATGACCTAGAGCATACTCTGAGAGTCAGAGTCTGCCCTCCTCAGCTGGTGCCTGAACAGGGACCTCCAGAGTCCACCTTCCACCTCACAGTATGAACAGTTCTTGCTACCAGATGATAAACTCATGAGGGCAGTATCACATCTCTTTAACTCACATTCCTAAGAGTGAATACTGAGCCCAGGGCAGACACTTAATTTCAGAGCTAGGAGTTTCAGGAAATACAGGGTATGTAGAGGCTGTGTCAATGACAAAAATTCTCAGAATCTGGTTGCTAGAGACAGGAACTTTGGAAACCTGGTTAGGTGAGACCATCAGAATCCTGCTCTATTTCTATCCACTCAGGGATCAGCATCAAAACCAGAAAGAAAGACCAGAAACCTGTGGAATAGTCTTCAGAGGCAATAAAAATAAGAAACTGCCCACTTTTACTCTTCAGCCAGACTACTGGTAGAAGCACCAAAGAATGGAGAATGTGGTGGCTCCTAAAGGACCCAAAATCTAGGGGACATTTGAAAGGACACCAAGAAAACTACCTCAGCTTGCCCTGCTCTGGTCTCCATACCCCTGAATCTTCTTGCTTCATACCTTCCAGTTTTCCGTCAACCCATCCATGCAGATATGGCTCTTATCATACCACCTCTTCTCCCACATGTTCCCCTTCTCTTAGAGCCCACAAAGAATCAGACTCAGGCAGCAACTGACACTGGAGATTGGATGTAATTGCATCTCAAGCAAGCATATGCAGAGCTCAGACTAGGGTCCCACGGTGGTAACAGTGGCAGGGGTGGTTGGGTAACTCATACCACCCCCACCTTGTTTATGGCCCTCATTCTTTCTCACTGACTCTGGAACACCGTTGTCTCCTTAGTAAAGGGCATCATAGTAAATTTGGTTCATAGTGCAGCTGCATCCAAGAATGGGAGAGCTGGGCAGTGGGATATGGGGGAAAGGGCACAAAGGAAAAGATACGGTATGAACGACTCGGGCTCCTATGACTGCCTCAGCTTCTCCACTGCAGCATCCACATCACCCTCTGTGGCAATGAGGGCCTGGAGGTTAGCTTCGGGATTCAGAAAGCCCATGGTTCGCAGTTGTTCTAGCTGCACGCGAAAGTGATTTTCAGGCTGCAGCTGCTGGGAATTGGCATTAGATAGGGCTTGCAGTATATGGAGGAAGGGAGTGGAATGGGGGCCTACCTCCACAGAACCCTGTGCTGGGGGAACCTCAGGAGCTGGGGCTACAGGACGAGCCCCAGGCATAAGGGCACCCTCTCTAGGCTCTGCAACTCCTGCCATATTTCCCAGTCCTGCTAGGCAAGGCATGAACCAGAGTAGGAGGTGAGGTGCTTCAGTTGCCAGGACCTGCAGACCCTGCTCAATCTGCAGCAGGGCATGCATGGCACGAGGGTTTGTCATGGCTGCCTGAAGGTGCAGTAAAAGGGGCAGCTGCCGATGCCTCTCATCCTGCAACTGTGGGGCCTGATTCATACTGGCTGGCCACAGAGATCTAGGATATGCGTGTGGTGGTAGCCAGGCATGCTCAGGGATTCCAGGGGTAGCCACCAGAGGGGATCGTGGTGAAGGAACAAATGGGGCCCTGCTGGCAGCACCTCCTAGCCCCGAGATAAGATCAGGCATGCTGGTACTGTGACCAGTAGAGCCATTCCCTGAATGATCTTGGCTACCATTTTGTCTAGGACTACTTTCTGCGGGGTAACGCAGGAATTCTGGGCAGGAGGATTTGCCTTTGATTGCTACTGATTCTTTGGGGAATAACTGGTCTGACTCAGGTTTCTGGGGTGAGGGTGAAGTTGGGGGAACTTGGTTTCCTGGTGGTGGTGCTTCTTGCCTTGGGCTGAGGGTGGAAGCTGTCCCTGGTACATAAGTTCCCAAGGACTGGGTAGTCTCATGTAATTGCTGAAGATAGTCATAAAGCCCTATACTACCCAGAATGTTGGGAACCCTGTTTCTAATTTCAGATATGTCCTGGTCCCCAGGCCACCTGCCTCGCCTGCCACCTGAACCAGCATGTGTAGAAGCCCAGGGGTTGGGAAGAGGGTCACAGTTCTCCATCCTGGAAGGTTGGGTGCTGTTAGTGGTAGCATTAGCAGTAGTGGTAGCAGCAAAGGGATTGCCACCAAACTGCTCCTGTACCGCATTAAGCATTGGGTCCATAATATCTGTGTACATGGCCCGAAGCACATTGTAGCCACCAGGGATGCTCTCCAGGTTACTGAGAGCCCGGTCCTGGCTACGCATCATCTCTTGCATCATTGCAGGGTTGCGTAGAAACTCCAGTGTCTGCCGCATGATTTCAGGGTTATTGAGAATATGCCCGATTTCAGGGTTGTGCTGGATCAGCTGCTGCATATGGGGATTGTCAATAACCAGCTGGTGCACCAGGCTTGTGTTGGACAGCAGACCCTGGACGAAAGGCTCATCAATGATCTGAGCCACAAACTCAGGCACAGATACATGCTGCCACATCAGTGAGCTTGGCTGGTCAGGGAAACTTCCAGAAGTCAGGCCCAGACCACTGAAGCCTGTGAGGACACCTAAGCTAAAGGTGGATGGCCCACCTGCTGCGTAAATGGAGGTTGGCTGAGGGAATGCTCCAGCAGTTGGGGTAGGGACTGAAGCAGCTGGGGATCCAGTGCCCATGGTACGGCGCTGCATCTTGATGACCAGGTGGACAGTGAGTCCATCTCGCACTCCACACTGTGCCAGGGAGTCAGGGTCCTTGAGGATTTTACCAGCAAAGATTAGAACCAGCTGATCAGGGTGAGCCTTAAAGCGCTGAGATATCTCTTCCTTCAGCTGCTGGATGGTGCAAGTGTCTGTAACTGAGAAATCCTCTTTGTCTTTGGGTGTCTTCACTGTCACCTTGATGAGATGAGGATCCTGGACTGGTGCTGGGCTGCCCTGTGGCAGGGCCTCTCCGCTTTTGGCCATGGTAGGCAGTAGGAGGCCCAGGTATGTGGGGACACAGCTAGGGGATGGGAACAGGAGACCAAGATCATCCCTTGGGCAATGGTGAAAGTAGGAAAGGTGAGCAGAAAAAGGACTTTGGATCTCAAGATGGGGAAACAGGAAGATCCACACAGAAGGAACAATGAGGTCCCTGGGATAGGATGCTTTGAGAGAATTATGGGTGTGACAGATGTTGGGGTCAGAGAAGGAGCACCTGAAGCCCTGGGAAAGAGGTCTACAGGTGATAAGTAAAGAGGCAATAGAAAAAAGAATGACCCAGTTTGGGGAATACATACCAAGCAGCTGTGACCCCGTCCTTTCTCTTATACAGGGTGCCAAACTGCCCTCATCTTGCTGAACAGCCACCCCTGAAGCCTTCTGAGCCTGAACCCACTCTGTCAGTTTACCTCTGTGACCTCAGCCCTGACATCACAGCTCATACAATGGATTCCTGAGATTCCTGTAAGGTACTCCGGATCCCTGGGAACTCCGTCTCCTTCAGCCTTTAACTTTTCCACTTTCTTTATCTCATTTTCCTTTTCTGTAGTGAGGGGTCTTGGCTGACCCTCCTTCTGGGTCCAAGAGTCCTGTTTCCATAAACCCTGTTATGTGGTATGTGAAGACTCACTTAGATTGAAGAACTAGGAAAGACCCCTTCATCTTTTTTGTCCACATTAAGACTCAAATTCAGGTATTCCCCAGTCAACCCTCTTCTTCCTGACATCTTATGTTCCTGTCTTTTCTCTGATTCAACATTAACCATAAATTATATATTTTCAAAGTATTGACTTTGTGATGGGTAAAAACTAGAGTATGAGAGAGGAGTAGAGGGTGACAGCATTTTTTAACTTAAAAAAATAAATTATTACTGACCTGGCCGGTGTGGCTCCATTGGTTGGTCATCATCTCGGAAACCGAAAGGTCACAAGTTCAATTCCCAGTCAGGGCATATGACTGGGTTATGGGTTCAGTCTCTGGTCAGGGCAGTTACCAAAGGCAACTGATTGATGTTTTTCTCTCACACAATGTTTCTCTCCTTCTCTTTGTCCCTCCCTTCCCCTCTCTCTAAATGAAAATAAATTATTATTATTCTTCAGAAGAGCTCAAAGAATGGATTGGCTACTTACTGACATTAGACTAAAAGAAGGAATATAGTTGTTATACAAAAAGAAATAAGAGTTCAGTTGCACTTATATCTGAGATGTCTATTTTACATCCAAATGGAAATGTAGGAAGGTAATTCAATATCATGAGTCTAGAGTGCATCCACATTGACAAAGTATTTAAAATCATGAGCCTAGTGAATATAAAAGTAGAAATAAAAAGATTGAGTTATAAGACACTACAATATTTAGAAGTCTGGAAGATTAGATGAATTCAGCAAAGAATATTTAGAATAAATAAAACATTAAGTCAGAGGAGCAAAGAGAAAGAGGGGGAAGATGAAGAGTTTCAAAAAGGAGAAAGTAATCAAATGTGTCAAATAATGCTGGTAGATCATGAGGATGGAAACAGAATTGATACTGGCTTTGACAGGAGAGAATCTGGACAACGATGAAACAAATTTTAGAAAAGTAGTGGGGGCAAAATTCTGATGGAGTGAATTTAAAAGCAAATGGATTGGAAAATAGTGGATCCAATAAGAATATTGTAAATGAGAAAAAAAAAAGGATGATGGCTGTATGAGAATGTGATGATAGAGGCTTTTTTGTTTTTGTTTTTTCTTAAGATGAGAATATTACTTCATATTTTTATTTGATAAAAATATTACATCACATTCTTACTTGATGCGAACAATCCAATGAGGAAAAAATGATGCTGAAGAAAGAGGAAACAATGTTAAGAGTACATCTTTGTGAAGATAGATTAGTAGAGAGTTTGATCTAGCAGCATAGATAGGTTATTCAATGCAACAGGTTAAAGGGCAGAGTATAGGAGTACAGATGCAAGTTAGTTGATTTAGTAACGGAAACAGGTGTAAGACACATCTACTTTTGTCTTCTTGTTGGAATAAGCAAAACATCAACTGTAATTGAGAATAGAAATAGGGATGGTGAAGGTTTAAGAAGAGCTGAAAAGATATAAAATGATCATCTCAAAAAATAAGATAGTGAACTGATGTAGGTATTGGATCTCCAAGTGTGGTTCCTCAGACCAGCAGCATCAGAAACACCTGGGGCTCCACTCAAAACCTACTGAAATCAGAACCTCTTGGAATGGAGCTCAGAAATTCATGTTTTGACACATTCTCAAGGTTATTTTAATGCAGATTCTGTTGAGAAATATTGGAATAAGAAAGTGTAGGAGGATCACCAATAGACTAATGGGTTTTGATAATAAATTTAGATGAGAGTAGTCAGCACAGATGTCTGCTTTTTTCTGCCTACAGAGAGATTAGGCAGTGTTGGATAGACCATTTTTACTTTGCTAGGTGAGTGCTATGCTAGAAGGATTATACTGATAGATATGGAGTAGTGTTGGAGGTAGAGAATTGTGGTCAAAATGCAAAAGAAGATGCAAAGAGAACACTGACCCCCTTTCTAAGTCCGCAGGGAATGCAGAAAGCAAACAGCACTGCTGGAGAAGCCGTGTCCTGAGTGGACAACCAGAATTAAGTTACAACATAAAACGGTGAGGGAGCACTTGGAAAGTTGTAGGTATAGGGTTTTGCTGTTTCTAAATTATGAGTTCTAAATGGTAGGGCAGAAAGATTTGGAGACTCGATGAGTGGAATATTGAGTCAGATGATAGATGTTCAAGCATATTGGGATGAGAATTAGAATGATGACCTGGAGAGCTTAGGTTTTTTATGTAAACTGAGGCAACTAACGTATAAGGCTTAATTGGATTATAGAGATGTTGTACTGTGGAGGTCTAGCATCAGTTTTAGCTATAATTCCTTTCTTGAGACATATCTTTTTGATAGGTTGTGGTGGTGGACTGGGAATCTTTGGCAGTAGGTTTGCTAGACACACCTGGAGCTTTGTGGACTTGTCCTTCACTCTTTCTGATACAGGTGTCAAGGCTGAAGAACTGGAGCCACCTCCACTGCTCCCACCTTAGTTGCAGATACTACCATCCTCTACCTACTGTATCACAAAAACATCTACTAGTTTTACTGCTTCCAACTTTTCCTTTACCACAGTCTATTCTCCACTCAACATCCAGTCTGAGAAATTAAATCACTTTGTTCCTTTGCTCAAAATCTAGCAGTGATTTTCATAGTAAAATACAAAATCCTCAACAGACCTACAATCTCTTCGTGATTTCTCTATTCTCTTTTTATCCTATTCTTATTCACTCTAGCTACATCATCTCCTTGTTATTCTTCAGACATATAAAACTCCTACCTGATGGTTTTTACTTTTATTATGCAGCCTTCTCTGCCTTGAACATACTTCTCCCAGGAAACTGTGTGTTTAAGTCTTAAATTCCTTCTGATTTCTGCTCAACTGTAAACTTTTCAGGGAGGTCTGTCCTAATTATTCCTTATTTAGAACAGCTGAATCTGTTTCATTTTCTTCGTAGCTCATATCACCACCTAGCATGTCTATAAGTTGAGTACTGTAGCCCCATGAAAGGATGTAAACTACAAAGTAATGAATCTTTGTTTTATCACTACTATTTTCTCAATGCCTAAGACAACAGTTAATTATTAAGTTATGCCAAGCACTTCTTAAATGATTTAATAATTAATAGTTGAAGTACAATTATTTTCATACCAATTGGCTGTGATGCTTTTGGAGAGAAAGAAAAAGAAGGTAATGAGACCTTGGCTAACCATAGAAAATAAGAGCTGCAAACATTAGATATTCTGAAGAATTAAGGTGCTGAAAAATGTCATGCTCCACAGAGGCCTGTGTTTTTTGTAGATGGAATGTGAGTGAGGGTGCCAGCAATTGTCTGTGACAGAGAATAGGAACAATCCAGCAAAGCTCTGTGATTCTAAAAATGGAAATTATAAGAAACTTCTGGAAGGATGAATAGTCATTAAGACCTGGCTAAAATATGGACTTTTCCTATGTTGACCCACGAGGCCTTTCCTTTTCCACTTTCAAATTTGAACAATTTGGTTTTGAGAAATGAAGTCTTTATGACTACATATCTGAATCTATGTAGTATTTCTCCCTTTTGTATGTTTTGCTTTCTTTTCATGTGGGTCTGTTACATGTTTCTAGGAAGGGTGTATCTGTGTGAGCACATGGTTATGCATACTTGTGTGTTGTATTTGTGCTTATATATGTGAACCTGTGCATGTGTTCATATCTGAGGCTACATATGCATGTTCTTGGGTATGTGGTCATGGTATTATATCTGTGCATGTGGTTCTATGTGAGCAACTTTGATTTTCTATATTAATATAGACATGTGGTATGTATATGTGTGTTCATGTATGTAGATAGGTGATACTGTGATATTGCACACAGATATTTACCTTTTTTGTGAAAGAAACAAAGCCAAACCTCAGATGGGGGTGGGTGAGTGTAGCCATTTTATTGACAGATCTTCCAGTAATGGTCAATGATCAATTACTTCTCTAGCTGTCAAATGAGGTGATCAAATAGGTTAGCAGGAAGGTAAGAAGGAAATGGTTAGACATGGTGTTTAGAATCCCTGGGATCTCTTGAGCTTTCAAACAGCAGCACTGGTATCCGCCTCAGTGGCAACAAGTGCCTGCAGATTGGCATGGTGGTTCTCAAATCCCATGGCCTGAAGAGATTCCATCTGCTTGCTGAAATGAATCTCAGGGGTTTGTAGGAGGTGGGAAGGATCTTCAGCTAAGGACTGTAGCCTCTGCAGAACAATTCCAGATTTATGGCAGCACTCAGGCCCTTAAGGCTCAGCCATATTTGGCACATCCCAGGCCCTGGTCACTGTGTCAAGGTAGCTGCAGCTGGGGGCAGGAAGGCAGCCCAAGCCCCAGAGGTAAGGTGCAATCCAGGGCAGAAGAACAGGAGCCTCAGTGGCCAGCAGCTGTAGACCATGCTCAATCTGCAATATTGCTTGAGATGCCTTAGGGTTGGCTAGGGCTATAAGAATGTCAGAAAGCTGTGTCTGCTGCAGGGAAGTGAGAAGCTGCTGCCTCCACTGTTCATTCTGCTGGGACACACTCATGAGCAGCAGCATCTGGACTGCCAGGTAGGAGTTGTTCAAAAGTAATTGCATCATACTTCCTGTGATCTTGGAGAAACTGGTCTGCTCTTCTGATAGTTGGAGGTTATCCTCTAGCCTCTTGTTAGAGCTATCTAGAGAGACGGTGGCATCTTTGTCTTCTGACTGGGGCTTCTGTGTGAGCTCTCTGCTTGGTAAAGTTGGTACCCCAGCTGGCTGCTGAATGTCATGGGTATGATTCTGGCCCTTGGTGGAATTAGCAGTAGTATTAGCCCTAGAAGTATGGTTCACCTTGTTGGAAGTAGCATTGGCTGAGGTGATTGAAGATAAACCACAAGAACTGGTATAGATTACTTGGGTTACAGGGAGCTGGTCTTGCCTTTCCTGGGATGATGGTGGAGATAGCAGTGAGGAATGGACTTGTTCTTGCACTTGTCCTCCCAGGAGAGCTGTGAAAGGGTTGCCCCCAAAGGGATCTTGTGAGCTGTTGAGTATTTGATCTTTGGAATCAGCATAGCTTTGACCCAAGGCATTGTCCCCACCTGGGATTGTCTCTAGATCCAGTTGTGATGGTGAGTTCAGTGGATGCTCAAAAGTCTGTGCAGGTTGCTGGATCTGCATGATCTCTTGAATCAAAGCAAGGTTCCTGGCCAGCTCCAGTGTCTGCCATAGGATCTCAGAATTGTCAAGGATGTGTGAGACTTCTGGATTCTGCTGCATCAATTGTTGCATTTCTGGCTGTTCTGAGATGAACTGTCTTATGAGGTCAGTGGTAGACAGAAGTGACCGGGTGCTCGAGTTTTCCGGCATCTGTGCTTTGTGCTCAGGACCACCCACTCCCAGGTCCTGGGTAAACTCCTGGAGTGCATCAGGCTCCACAAAGAAGGCTGATTCCACTGGAGTGTTATTTATACCAGGAGGCTGGTATACCCTCCTACTGTTTCCTTTGGTGTTTCTATCCTGGTGGCAGGGCTCACTGGCTGGCAGTTTCTGAGAGGAATTGGCCAGGGATCTGGAGCCCTGTTTAGACATAATGACCAAGTGGATGGTGTGGTCATCCAGGATGCCCCTCTGGCTCAGTGTGTCATGGTCTTTCAGAAGGCGGCCCATGAAGACCAGCACTAGTTGGTCCATTTGGCATTTAAAGTGAGCCGATAACTTCTCCTTGAACTGTTTCACCAAGGTGTCAGCAGCTATTGTAAAGTCTTCCTGCTTGCCTGGTGTCTTTAATGTCACTCGAATGATACCCGAAGAGATGTTCTTGTTTGCAGGCCAACCTGAAAGATGCCCAGGCTGGGCCATCCTGGGTGTTTGAGAGATGATATGAGGCATGGATTTTAGAGGGAAGGCAGATGACGAGCAGGCGGAAGCAGGGGCAGATGGAGTGAGAGGAGACCACTGGCCTCTGTCTTGGGTGTTATGTCCTCAGGCCGCAGGCTCTTTGCCCCAAAAGTGATGAGTGACCAGACTCAGGCCAGGTATTTTACGGTGTTCTATCCCCACTCCAGTTCTCCAAGTGTGGCCCAGCTGAGGTCTGTCTTGGCTACTAATTCATTCTTGGTACAAGGTAGGCTAAGTAGAGATGATTCCTCCCAGGGCTGCCCCTCCCCTGCCCCACCCGCTAGGAGCATAGCTTCTTCAGAAAAGAGATATTGTGATGCAAAGTCTGACCTCACAGTCTCTGACAAGACTAACTGGGAAAAGAGGACATATTTAGTGAGTTCAAGTCTATATAATGAAATAAAATAAGAAAATTATCCAGGAAATTGGGCACAAAGTACTTGGGATGGAACTATTATGAAAAGAAATAAAAGACCAGATTGGTTATGTGGGATATGTGGCCTTATGTGTGAGTTCCTTGTAGGAATGTCAGTCTTATAGTAAGAAAAGCTTGGTATACTGAAGCCATAGATAAAACTACATACCTGTGGATAAGAGCAGAATCTCTCTGAAAAGAAAAAGCTTATAGCTTTTGTTAGTAATCTAGAAAGAGTTGGGGCTTAGAAAGGAAAATAGAGCAAGAACGAAGTTCTTAAGTGAGAGACGAGGTCATGTTTTTATCTGCGTTTAAATTAGGGGATTCTAGACTTAACTGAGAGTGTTCCTAGGGGACTGGCAGAGTGGGGTGGGTGGAATTTTTTCCATGCTAGAAGCAGGAGCAGGGCTAGCCAGGAAGATTTCCTCTAGGGATATTCAAGACAAAAGATTAATGAGTTGTTTTGTGAAGTATCGTTAATTCACTTATCATTTGGTCTATTCTACATGTTACGATAGAATAATTTTAAAAATTATTTCTTTCAGTATTCTAGCTCCATCTTAAAAGCCTACCTTTCTGTTGAAGCATTAAGAGGAAAAAATGTCTGTAAACCAAGAGGTGAGAGTGAAAGTGGTTAACAGTGAAATTCCTAACAAGACAGGTTTAGGCAACTAAAAAGCCAGTTTCTCAGTTCCATGCAAATTTGGAGGATGGTGATTGATTTTTATTTGGGTAGCAGATGAATTTTTTGTTAGTAAATAAGTTAAATTCATATTTATGTCTATGTTGATATTTGGGTGTGGATGGAAACTCAGTATATACAACGAGAATGCAAGTGTCTAACTGGATATATGTTTGTGAATGAATATGTGTGAAAGTATAAGCATGAAACAGTGTGTGTGAAGTATTCTGGTTTCTGTGTGACTGTGAAGACTTCAGGTTCTGAAGCCTTGAACATTCCATTTACCTGCCTAGAGTGTTGGCTCACCGTGAAGATAGGTGAATCAAGCGGAGAGTCCAGGCCCATATATTCTCGGTGTGTTTAAGATAAACAAAGAAACTACAGATAGTTGTTTAGCAGACTTCCTGCTATCACACTAAAGGATTCTTTATTAAGAATGTCTGGACCTCCACCCCAATCCACGTTAGGCCTGCTTCATGCTCAGCTATCGGGTGCTCACTTCTTAGAACATGATTCAGACCTAAGCCCCTCTCTCAATTGTACTTGAAAGTGAGATATATTCAGGAAAGTGAGACATTGAGTTTCACACCAAGACACTGTCTCTTTATTCCCCCAGGTACCTCACAAGCCATTGGTGATAGGAAAGGAATTTGCACATCTCATTCTAATGACCAGCTTCCTTGGATCTGCTGCACTGGGATCAGAGGTTCTTGACCTGCTATGATTCTAATCCTAACTCACAGAATCCTACAATTATAAGAGCTGGATTCACAGTTTTCAAAACACAAAATATGAGATTTTTTTTAAAAGTCCAGTTCCTACAATTCTAAGATTCTGGTAAAGAGAAGGTAATGTTTTCCAGCTCATATTTTGTTTCCCAACCAAACCTCAATCAATCCACCTAGGCCATTATTAAAGAGAACTTTAATGTGCTTATTGAGATATTAAATATAAAGAACTAACTAGATATAATCAATGCCACCAATCATTAAGGCTAATCACTATTTTGGGGAGTGAAGAAGAGGACATACTTCTACCAATGCTCTTCCCATTGGGTTTCAAGGCCTGTGGGGCTTATTGGGTTTGACAGCATTGAGTGGAGTCTTGGCCCCAGATGGCCTTTTGGCTGGTGGCTTTGGTAGCCTGCTCTTCAGTGTCTGGAAACTGAGGTCATAATTGACAAGGTAGCCATCATTGTAGACATACAGCTTGTGATCTGAGGAGCAATAGTTGATGCTCTGCAGTGTTTCTAGCATCTTATCCAGCAGGATGCTGAGATGGTGGTCCTGCCCAGTGGTGGTATCAAAAGCATAGAAGATCTCCTCTTGGCGGGTGCTCAGAGAGCGTAAGGCATAGAGCACCCCACAGGCCATGAAGGCCCCTGACAGAGCTGGTTTGTACTGGCTGGTACGCCAGGTTTCCTCCACTTCTAGGGTATTGGGATTGAGGCGACTCACAATCAGGTTGCCCTTGCTCTCCTCCGTAGCATAGAGCACCCACAGCCCTTTCTCATCACCAGCAAAATCTAAGTCCTTCCAGGGCACACCAGCATAGGAGAAGCGGTTGTTGTAGGTGGCACCTGGCAACGGGCGCCGCAGAACCAGGCTGTTGGAAGAAAGGTCCACCTTGGCCATTTCATCTGTGCCATAGTAGTTAAAGTACATGAAGTTCTTGTACACAGTATTGCCACTGCCATCACCATAGCCCATCTTCCACTGCTCATAGTTCTTCAGCAGTACCAGGTCATCATAGGATTTGTGCAGTCGGTAGTAGTCAAAGTACCTAGGCCAAGCCCCACACCAGAATCAGCAGGTGACAGCAAGAAGCAACGAAACAGAGTGCTGTTCAAAAATGAGCAGGCTAGTGTTCTCACTAATATTGGGGGCTTTGGAATCAAAGAGAATTGATTTTTAATCTTTCTTTTTTTACTTAGAAAATACTATAACAGAATAATTAATTATAAAAACACAGTAACAGTAGTACTAATAACCAACAAAAATAATACTTAATAGGCACTGTATATGCATTAGCTCATTTAATTATAATAAAATAACTTTCAGATAGGTTTTCTCCCCACAAGATAGAAGATTATCTCATAAAGTTTAAATAATTGCCTCTAGGTTAATCAGCTCATAAATAAAAATTTGTAAAAAAAAAAATCTCCTTGTCAGGACTAAGATATGCAAATAAAATAATTACTAGAGCATTCATTAATGGCAGGTGGTAAGCAGTGAACAAGTGGTAGCTTTTTTTTTCCTTCTTTTTGGATAATCTTTGTTTAGATTTCACTGCTTTCCACCTGCCATTGAGACACAGGTGCCCTGTAGTAGGACAAGAGTTCTGAAGCTGGGTTCAGAAAGTTACTTTGGAAAGTCCCTTAAATTATTCCTGACTTAGTAAGTATTACCATCTCTTAATATTGGGCAGTAAGTCCTGCTTTACCCACAGAGATTCTGAGAGGATTTAAAAAGAAAAAGCATGTAAATGTGTTTTGTGTGCTACAAAATATCTATAGAAGTTGGGGAGCATTATTATCAGCAGAAAACTTATCTTTCTAGGATAAGCTTCAACTGGGGTTCTTCAATGACTAGTTCAACCCACATTCATCCATTCCTCCCATGACCTCCTTACTCAATTGAGTCTATAGCACACTTTGTATGTACTCACTTCAAACACGTGATCTGGGAGTTGTGTCTGCATTCCTAGCTAGACTGCCAGTTTATTGAGGAGGTCATTCATCTACTCATTGATTCGTTTAGCTATTTTTCAATAAATATTTTTCTGCACCTACTATATTGTTTACATTTTTCTATGTAATCTTGTGTGATAGTCTCATTTTACAGCTGACTAAGAATGAGTCTGAGATGTTAATTCACAAGGTCACTTAGCTTAAGTGGCAGCATTGAGAATCAATCTCAGATCTTTTTGACTCCAAGTGTCAAGTATGGTCAAGTTTAGCCTCTGAATTTTTTCTGAGCATAAGTTAGGATTCTGAGCTCAGGTATAGAAGATTTTGTTCTGGAGATGAAGTCAGGCTAGGAATAGAACCAGCTCCAGATTATAATGGGATTAGAAATTTCAGACATTGAATTTATGAAGGAAGATTGGGGCAGTTTGGACCATCCTTAACCCATGAGAATAGCACTAAGAGGTAACCTGTCAGGCCTAGACCAAGTTTGCTCAGGAGCACACCTGAAATAGAGAGAAGCTGGGATAGGGCCACAAAGAAACCTGTTAGGGTAGGTTAGGGGATATTTGGAATGAACCTAGCTGCAGAAGAACCATTCTGGACTCACCTACGATCTGTACGCAGAGGAGCCACCCAGTACAGGGTAGAGGATGAGTTGGCGGCTGAGTCTCGGCCCCAGGCCCCTGCCTTGTAAGAGAAACCTCTCCAATTGAGCTGCACCACAAGGGGTCTGCTGACTTTCTGGAGGCCTCCATGGGCACAAGAGCCTAGGGAAGAGAGCAGGCATGGTATGAGCTCATTGTGAAGCACATGACCCACAGAAGGCAGAGTATGAATATACAATAACCATGTGTGCATTTGAGTGTATGTCCATGCATCTGAGTGTGTCTACAAGCGTATGTATAAGCATATGTGATTGTGCATGAATAGAGACTAGTGTGTGTGTCTGATTGTGGGTATATTTACTTGTTTATGTATGTGGGTATGCCAGTGTGTGAGAGTGTACCATTCTTGGTCTGCATCCCTTAGCAATATACCAAACAAGGGATTAAAAGACTTACTCTACATCAAAATATCTACTGCCTACCCTTCAGTGCACAATAGCCAGTCCTACACGCCCAACCCTGTCCTTGGGGAGATGAGATCTTGGAAAAGTTAATGTAAGGCCTCACCTGGGGGCAGGAATGGGCTGGAGTTTCTGGAGGCCTCTTTCTCCTTCTCCCGCTCACACTCGCTTAGCCGGCTCTCAAGGACATCCACCTCCCGGCGGAGAGTACGGAAGCTGCGCTGGTCAGAGTCAGCCAGAAGCTTGAGTGTGAGACTGGCATTAGCCACCTGTGGAAATTAGATGCCAAGAATGTGGGTCATTGAGTGTCCTTAAGAGTTGAACTCAGTAAATGAAATAGAGGCAAGTAAACTACCAGATTTTGAGTTCCAAGCAACGGTTAGAAGGAAGCTCAATGAGCTCAGAGAAAATTACAAAAAACTACAGGGAAACTACAAGGAACTTACTGAAAACTATATCAGCATGAAAAAAGACATAGAAACTATCAATAAGACACAAAAGGAAATGAAGAATACAATTTCTGAATTGAAGAACACAGCAGAAGGAATCAAAAGTGGGCTAGATGAAGCAGAGGATCAAATCAGCGAGCTGGATGACAAGGTAGAAAAAAGCTCCCAGAAAGAGCAAGAAAATGAAAAAAAGACTCCAAAAGAATGAAGAGGCATTAAGGGAAATGCAAGACAACCTGAAACATAATAATATCTCTAGAATAGGGATGCAAGAAGGAGAAGAGGAGCAAGGGATACCTGTTTGGAAAAGTAATGATAGAAAACTCTCATTGGAGGAGAGAAAAAGTCACACAAGTCCAGGAAGCACAGAGGGTCTCATTCAAGAGGAACCCAATGAGGCCCACCCCAAGACACATCATCATTAAAATGGAAAATATCAAAAACAAACAGAGAATCTTAAAGACAGCAAGGGAGAAAAAGGTAGTAAATTATAAGGAAGCCCCAATACATCTAGCAGCTTACTTCTCAACAGGAACACTGCAGGCCAGAAGGGACTAGCAAGAAATATTCCAAGTTATGAAAAGTAAGGCCTGCAACCAAGACTACTCTAACCAGGAAGGCTCTCAATTAAAATGGAAGGCAAAATAAGGAGTTTCCCAGACAAAAGAAGGCTAAAAGAATAGACCTCCACCAAATCAGCACTGCAAAATATGCTAAAGAGACTGTTTTAAGATGAAGAAAAAGAGTCTATGAATACCCAATTCCTTTCACAGTTACCAACACTTGATATTACCAATATTTTTTATACATATTAACCTGATTGTGATGATGATTTGTTATTGTAATTATTCCTTTATTATTTGTTGAAACCAAACTTGTTTTTATATATTTCTTGCCTATTTCTATTATTTTAAAAAAGCTTTAAATGACTTTTTGGTTTTCTTTATTCATTTATTGAGTAAAGATTTGTAGAATTTTTCCCCCCCAAAAAAACCTATTAACCCTTTTTTATATGTGTTGCAAATACTTTCTCATTGTATTACTTGTCCTTTTATTTTTTTATATGCATATTCCTATATAGTCTTCAATGTTTATATAGTCATACTGTCAATATTTTACTTTATAGCTTCTGGGTTTGAATATTTTACTTCATGGTAAGAAAAATATTAGTTTGTATTTTCTCCTAAAACTCCTTCCATTCTACATATTGATTTTTAACTCACCTGAATATTTCTTGTATAATGTGTGAAATATATTCTCTATATTTGTTTTATTTTAAGTAATAGTCCATGCACCATATTTATTGAATAAGCCTTATTTTCCCCATTGATTTGAAATATCAATTTAAGCATATATTACATTTTTAGACAGATATATATATTTGTTTCTAGAATGCTCATTATATTTCATTGATCTACTTGATTATTTCTGTGCAGGTGTCATATTGTTTTAATTGCTGAGACTTTATAATGGTTTCAAATTTTTTAATATCTTATAATTGACTCTGACATTTAAAAAATAAGTAAAATCTACATTTAAGGAAGAAAGAAGAAAGAAAGAAAGAGCGAAAGAAAGAGCAAAAGAGAGTGAAAGAGAGAAAGAAAGAAAGAAAGAAAGAAAGAAAGAAAGAAAGAAAGAAAGAAAGAAAAAAGAAAGAAAGATGGAACTCCTACCTGTTGCAACAACATGGATGGAACTGGAGAATATTATGCTAAGTGAAATAAGCCAGTCGGTGAAAGACAAATACCATATGATCTCACCTACAAGTGGAATCTATTCAACAAAATAAACTAAGGAACAAAATAAACCACAGGCATGGAAACATGTAGCAGACTGAAAGTGACCTGAGGGGATGGGGAAAGAGGACAAAGGTGGAAAGAAGGGGAAGGGATTAGACAAAGAACACATATGAATGACCCATGGACATGGACAACAAAGTGGGAATTGACTGTGGGAGGAGGGGTTGGGGGTGGAATGGGTGGAGGAGGGTAAAGGGGGAAAAACTGAGACAACTATAATAGAATAAACATGATTTATAAATTTAAAGAAAAAAAGAGTTGAACTCAGGATCCCACATTTCTCAGATCACGGTCTTCTCCAGAAAAAAGTGATTTTTGGAAACTGTCAAATTTGCCATTAGGTAAAACAAGGGACTAGAAAGGGGAGAGAAACAGAGTCAAGAGGGAAGGAAGTTGGGGTGGGGAAAGGGAAGGGAAGGGAAGGGGCAAGTCAAGGAACATATAGCAAGGACCCATGGACAAAGCCAAAGTGGGGAAGGATTGAGGGAGGTGGGGGAGAGGAGCACAGGAAAGTGGTGGAGGGAAGGTGGAGACAAATGTATTTGAACAAAAAATAAAAGTTAAAAGAAAAATAAAATAAACAAAATAAAGCCCTTACAAGAATATCTGTCCAAAAAAGGGGGGGAAAGGAGAGAGAGATTCTTCCTAAAAAAATATTTTGTTTATTTTATTTTTAGAGAGAGGGGAAAAGAAGGAGAAAGAGAGTGAGAGAAACATCACAGTGTGGTTGTGTCTCACGCGCCCTTCACTGGGTACCTGGCCCACAACCCAGGAATGTGCCCTGACTGGGAATCAAACCAGTGACCCTTTGTTTCCCAAGTTGGCACTCAATCCACTGAGCTATACCAGCCAGGTCAAAGGGGGGAGATTCTTAAATCCATCCACTTACCTGGCTCTGGAGTTGGTACAGGAGGTCGCCTGCTGTACTAACCCTTCCCTTAGCCTTAAGCTGTGCTGCCAACTCCTGTGCTCCCTCCAGCTCCAGGCGCAGCAGGTTGAAGGCTGGGGACTCATAGGAGGCAGCAAGGTCAGTAGGATTCCTGAACTTCAGGGCGTGGTTCATTTCCAGGACCTGGTTATCCTGATCTTCAATGGCGTGTGCATATTCACTGATCTGGGCGTGAGAAGATGAATAGGGAGTTCCCCTAAACCTCTATAGCTATGGCTCTTCCCATCTATTTACAAACCCCCACCAGTGCCACACAGCTTACAAAATACTCTCATATCTGTCACCTCATTTGCTTCCATGAAAAGCCCTTGAGGTAACTGTTAACATTATCTCCATTTCACAGCTGAGAATACTAGCATCCTTTCCCCTGCAGGAAAAATATAATGTGCTCCTGTGTGTGATGCGCACCCATGATTTTGGCTCAAACTTTCAGGGGGAAAAATCTTTTGTTTTTTGGTATATAGATACAGAATTAGTACTACCCATTTATAATGCACATCCTTATTTTCCCTCAAAATCTGGGCAAAAAAGTGTGTTTTATACACAGCAAAATACGGTCAGGCTTTCTCCTGAACCACCCAGACTCTCTATTTCCTGTTTAGTGCCACACACTCTCAGGAGAGATTTGGTAAGGGAATAAATGGACTGACTTCCAGCTTTCAGTCTGGTCCCATCCCACCGACCTTTCCCAGGAGCTCCACTAGTAACCATTACAAAGAGCAACTGCTCACATCATACTGCTGATACATTTCTATTTACCCATCCTTACTTACAGCACCAATTCCAAGCTCCAAGCTCCCCAGCCTGGCCCACACATCTCTCCACTGATTGCCCCTATTCTAACTCTTCCATTCAAACCCTCTCCTGCCTTCTGTGCACTGGTCATCCCACTTCCAAGCCTTTTCTTGTTCTCTACCCTCTTCCCAGCTCCCAGTGAATCTATACTCACTAATTCACCCATTAATGTAGGAATCACCCATTACATAAGCCTCTCTGCTAGTACTCCTGGGGTTTCCCAAAGCAGTACCTAGTTTTCCCTTCATACAAAGGATTTGCCTCAAAAGTGAGGACTGTGTTTCCCTCAGTTCCTTCTTTACTACCAGAGTTTATCCTCATGCTACTTCCTGTCCCAGCCCTAACCCTGGCCCTGGCCCCAGCCCCAGCCCCAGCACTCACCCTGGACAGCTCCTGCTCATACTTTCCCATGAGCTCCTGGGCTGTACTCAGTAGCTGTTCCATCTGCTTCAAAGGGATGAGGTTGCTGGGCAGGTAAACCACACAATGGCATATGCCATTCTTATCGACAGAGCCTGGCACATATTTTGCCAGCTGCAAAGTAACAGGCACGTTAGGCATAAATGTTGGGGTACAATGTGCTTTTTGGCAACATGAGGAAAGAGAAGAGGCTGACCCCTCTCTCTCTGCACAGGAGGCTACTCTTGACTATGGGCATTCTTCTGTCATGAATGTGAGAGACCCTTTTCTTGACTTCTTAGAACTGCCACAGTTTCCTTCTAGCTCCTATTCATGGGGCCACCTTTATCCTACCTACTGGCTGAATCTGGCTGAAACTCCCATAACTGGAATCAGACTTTTCCTGGATGCTCTGTGAGACAGAGGAAGGCTGCTCTAAAGAGACTTGTCAGAGGACGAGGTTAGGGGCTGCAGTTTCTTGCAGTGCCCCTACTGTAGAGGTGTGGATCCCCACAACTTTACTTTGTCTTGAAGATAGCAGGTATGAAAAGTTCTAAATTTTCAAAGAGAGAAAATTAATATTAACAGCACCATCTGGCGCCAGAGTCTGGACTGGTATTCAGCATTCACAAGAACATCACAAAGTAGGACTGGCAATCTAAGCATTATAATTGAAAACCCAGAGGTTCTGAGAATTAAAAAATAATACTTTATGGAATCACATGATTAATAAGTGTTCAGGCTGCCAGCTGCCCCCAAGTTTCATGTTTGTTCTAAATCCTGTGCTCATGCTCCTCAGGGAGCCGCAGAACTCCCAGCCGTGTTAGGGTAGGTGTGCAATGCTCGCCAACAGGGCAAGACGGCAGACAGCTGCTTTACCTCAGCTAAATAGAGTGAGGGGAAAAAGGTTCTAGAAATGAGAGAGGCATAATTTTGGATCCTCTCCCCTTTACCTATAATCTTAACTTATAACCTACTGATTCTAGAGCCAGACTACCTAAGTTCTACTTCTGGCTCTGCACTATTGGGTGAATTACTTTACTCTCCCTGCATTCCAGTGTCCTTTGTGTAAGTGAGGATACTTATGTTTTACTTTAAGAACTAAAAATACATGTAGAGATTAATTTGCAAAGGTTCTTACTAGAGTATGGTTATTATTAGTTATTATAGGCTCTAAGTTATTAAGACTCTTATTAGCCTGTTAGTTATGATCCTCAATGTCCATCTGCCCACTCCTATTTTGAAGCTGGATGAGCCAGCACTAGACTGGAAGCTCCCTTCCAAGTTGTTCACTAGGCCTGTGGCACCAGCTGAGGTTTCTCTACAGTATCTTCAAGGATTAAGATATGTTCCTGGTCCTTCTCTGAATAGTCCCACACATAGCTTCTGTGGCCCTAATAGTTAATATGGCATTTTCTTCATCCTGCTGCAACTCCACCTCAACAGTGTAGCTTTGGGGAACAATGGAGCAGAGGTCACATGCATACAACAGCCCAGGATGACCTCCCTCAGTTCTTGCATCTTTACCACTGGTATAGGGTCACAGACTTCTGCATAAAATGAAGGTTCATAAAGAGCAGGTGGACAGTGCAGAATTCTTCCCACCCACCTTCATCCTTGTTTTCCTCTCTCACCCTGTTGCCTTCCTAAGCCCAGGGATCATGAGAGCGGGCAGGGTGCTCTGTCCTCCTCCAACCATCCCTCTCTACCTTCACTCTCTCCCAGAACCTGGGGGTTCTTGAAGGACCTGAGCAGTGAGGGAAGCCAATACAAAACACAGAATCATCTCCCTCCCTGTTTGTGATCCCCCCACGGTCCACCTGTACCTGAGGCTGTCCGAGGAGCGCCAGGGGCAGCAGCAGCAGAGTGGTCAGAAGGGCTGGGATGGGTTGCATCTTGCATCAGCTGCAGGGTTGACTAAGACTTCTGAGTTCCCACAGGCTTATATCTCTGATCCAAGTGAATAGTCTCACCAGGAGGGGCACAGATTTCGACATATGAATGAACCGAGGGTAAGAGAGGCTGTGGAGAAGGTATAAGGATAAGCGGTGGGGGGTAAGGGTTGCGACACACAGGTGCCTGCAGATGTGGGATGGAAATGAGTTTCTCACTACACACAGGGTCTTTCTCATCCATCCCCAAGCTGAGATCTTCCCTCATTCTGCTGGGCGTCCCTGTCCAAACAGATTAAGGCAAACCTGATACATTCTGTGGGGGCCTTCAGATGGGTTCCTTTAAGGAGGGATTACGGTGTTTCCCTCAGCTTTGAGGGCAGAAATATTCTAGAAGGAAGTGCAACCTTGTTGGGAGCCGGCAAGTAAACACAGGTGTGTGAGAGTTGCTGGCAAGGCACTCGCCCTCAACTGGCCCCCGGACTTGCTGATTGTATAGCCATGCAAGGAGGAGGACATTGAAAACAATAGTGTCCTTAAGGGGCTCTTTTGAGTCCTCGGCCAGAGCGTGGGACAAGAAAATGTTTTCCTTGAGAATTGGCAGAGTAAGCCATCCATAAAGAACTTGTCCAGGCGGATCAAGAGATATTGTTTTCAGTCACGGAGCGTAGCCCAGTGACCGGGTGAACTGACTATAAGTGTACTGCTGTGCTGGCTAATAAACGCTGATTGCTGATTGCTGATCAGTCCTCCCGACCCTGACTCTTCATTCCACGTCTCCTCATCCCACGGGGGCTGGTGTGGTGCGGGACGCTACACTTTGGCGCCCGAACAGGGACCCGAAGGAGAAGTCCGTGAGAAGCCCCCGAGACTGCCGGCAAAATCATAAGTGAAAGTGAAACTAAGATAATAAAAACTGGGGAAAGAACCTAATCGGGAGTAAAACATGGAGCATTCTGAGTCAAAGGAAAGGCAATTATATGCACAGATGGTAAAATCTATGTTAGTAGCCCGAGGAGTTCGGGTGTCTATGGAACAGATAAACTGATTTCTTAAACTTGTTCAAGAACAATGCCCATGGTTTCCAGAGGAGGGAACTGTCAATTTAGAGACGTGGAATAGAGTAGGTCAAAAGCTGAAAGATTTTCATGCAGGAAATCCCCTGCGAACTCCCTTAGATACATTCTCTATTTGGGGATTAGTGAGAGATGCTTTGGGACTGTTGTGGGAACCCCCTACTGGGATTGTGTGCTCTCGCTCTTTAGACTCCATCCCCAAGGTGCAGGGGTTGACACAGCAGGTAGAAAACCTTTATGATGATATCCCTGATGATGATGGAAATTTGGAAGATGAGATGGTTAAGGAGGATATAGAAAAGGATTTTCGTGATCATACTGATTCTGCTAATTCAACATTAGAAGGGCAGGTTCTGTTAGACAAGCTAGAAAGGATAAAGTCAGCTTTGGAGAGAGTCCCTTGTAAGTCGCCTCCATGGGAACCTCCAGTCCAACCTAGGACCGAGGAGGTTAAGGCAACTGCTCCGCCTTATCAAAGTTCGAGCCAGCTAATTAGTGGACTCCCACGGGGATTGAGCACACTGCAGAGAACTTTATTATCTAATGTAGAGGAGAGTTTTGAATGTGGGTTCCCCTTAATTGCTCCCGTTCAAGAAGTCAATGATCCTAACAATCCAGGGCAAAGCGTTAGACGCCATACCTCATTTCCTATGAAGCTGCTTAAGGAATTAAAACAATCATGTGCTCAATATGGGGCCACTGCTGCTTACACGATGAGTCTTATCAGTACTATTGAAAACACTGCCCTAACACCAAATGATTGGAGACTGCTGGCCCGATCCTGCCTCTCAGGGGGAGATTATTTACTTTGGAAATCTGAATTTCAAGAGCAGGCTAGAGAGCAGGGCCGAGTTAACAGAATGACAGGTGCCAACCCTCAGCAGCAATGGACTGCGGCTATGATAGAGGGGATAGGACATTTTGATGGTGATGATGTGCAGCTTAGATACCCTGAAGATGTGTACATGCAAATAAATGCGTGTGCTGTTCGAGCTTGGAAAAGATTACCCACCACACATTGACTTCAAGAGTTGTCTAAAATTAAACAGGGACCCGATGAGCGTTTTCAGGACTTTGTATCCCGGCTGCTACAAGCAGTTGGCAGAGTTGTTAATGATGGGGAAGCAGGAACGTTATTGGTAAAGCAACTTGCTTTTGAGAATGCCAATACAGCCTGTCAAACGTTGCTTCGCCCTTTTCAGAAAAAAGGGTCCTTGGAAGATTATATCAGATTATGTGCCGATGTAGGGCCCTCATATGTCCAGGGAATGACTCTCGCTGCTGCTTTACAGGGGACCACCTTGGAAGGGGTAATTAATAGGACAATGCAGCAGAATGCGACCTGCTTTAGTTGTGGCAAAGTAGGGCATTTCCAAAAAGACTGTCGCAAAAAGAGAGGGGGCGGCAGTACTACTAATAATAATAGTAACAATAAAAAGCAACCAGGCACTTGTCCAAAATGTAAGCGTGGCAAGCATTGGGCGAATGAATGCCGCTCGAAAACAGATAAAAACGGCAGCCCTTTGTCGTCGGGAAACAGGAGGAGGGGCCCAGCCCCGGCCCGGCAGACAATAGGGGCAGCAACTGAGGCATACCCAGTAATGAGGAAGGGGTTCCCTCCATTCACTCCCGAAGAAATGGCCCGACTATCGAAAATCTCTTCCGAGCAACACCCGGAAGTGCAGGATTGGATTTAAGTAGCCGCATATATGTGGTACTAACCCCTGACTTAGGACCGCAAGCAATTCCTACTGGCATATATGGCCCTCTACCAAAAAAGGCATTTGGATTGCTTTTAGGATGAAGTTCCTTGACCATGAAAGGTTTGCAAGTTTTCCCAGGCGTCATAGATCAAGATTATACAGGAGAAATAAAAATTATGTGTGCAGCATTACAAGGAATTCAAACAATAAATAAAGAACAGCGCATTGCGCAATTAATTCTATTACCTCTTCCCACAATCGGACAACCTTTGAAGGGTAGTCGAGGTGATCAAGGGTTTGGGTCCTCTGACGCTGCCTTTTGGTTACATGAGATAACGCAAAAGAGGCCGGAGAAAGAATTATATATTAATGGGCATAAATTTAAGGGAATATTAGATACAGGAACTGATGTGTCTGTTATAAGCCTGAAACACTGGCCAAAGAATTGGCCTGTAACTCAATCTCTCACCCATTTACAAGGAATAGGGCAATCTAATAATCCTCTTCGCAGTTCGCGATTTCTTGACTGGTCAGACAACGAAGGTCATCAGGGAACATTCCAACTGTATATATTACCCCAATTACCAGCTAATTTATGGGGAAGGGACATTTTAAAAGATATGAATGTAGTATTAATGACCCAGGATCATTCCTTGCATTCTTTTTCTTAACGGGCCCTGTTGCTACTGCACCCCTTACAGCGGAGGCCATAACTTGGCTAAATGACAATCCTGTTTGGGTAGAACAGTGGCCCTTAACACAAGAGAAAATACAAGCTGCAAATGACTTAGTGCAGGAGCAATTGCAGCTTGGACACATTGAACCTTCTAACAGCCCATGGAATAGTCCTATATTTGTCATTAAAAAGAAATCTGGCAACTGGCGGTTGTTGCAAGACCTACATCAGGTAAATCAAACTATGCAACTTATGGGAGCCCTACAACCTGGACTCCCTTCACCTGTAGCTATTCCAAAGACTTATTGTATGATTATTATTGATTTAAAAGATTGTTTTTATACTATACCATTAGCTTCTCAGGATTTCAAAAGATTTGCTTTCTCTGTACCTTCTGTAAATTTTAAAGAACCCATGAGGAGATTTCAGTGGAAAGTTTTACCCCAAGGGATGGCCAATAGCCCCACCTTATGCCAACAGTTTGTAGCAAGGGTTCTTGAACCAATTAGGAGTACGTATCCCCAGGCTTATATAATCCATTATATGGATGATATTCTTTTCACTGCCCCGACTAAGTCTGAATTGGCTCAAATCTATTGCAAAGCAAAAGATAATTTATTAAAGGCAGGACTGAAGATTGCTGATGAAAAAGTTCAATTGCAATATCCTTATCAATAGCTTGGGTATATTATCTTGGGACAAACAATTAGGAGACAAAAATGTGAAATTCGCAAGGACAAATTAAAAACATTAAATGACTGGCAGAAAGTTTTAGGAGATATCAACTGGATTCGTCCCTCTTTGGGGCTTACCTCAGGACAGCTCAAACCCTTCTTTGATATTTTAAAAGGGGAGTCTGACCCCAATTCACCTAGGGATTTAACTCCTGCAGCTGCCGAACTCTTGGATATGGTCCAAGACAAAATTAATTCTCAATTTGTGACTCAAATTGATTATGACCAACCATGGCAATACTTAATTCTAGCAACAGAGTTTTTGCCCACAGGACTTTTTTGGCAGAAGGGACCTCTTGAGTGGGTCCACCTGCCATCTTCCCGGAAAAGGGTTATTCTGCCATATGCTGATGCAATTGCCCAAGTCATCACGGCAGGCCGTAAAAGGGCCAGACAGCTCTTTGGGTCTGAACCCTTTGAGATTGTTGTTCCCCTGAAAGCGGAACAGGTTGAGCAATTATTACAGCAATCCACTGACTGGATGATTGCTCTTAGTACATACCCTGGAAAAATTGCTCATCATTATCCAAGTTCTAAACTGTTGGAATTTTTCAAAACCACTACACTAATTTGGCCCCAGAAACAGAGTGTAACGCCAATTACCTCTGCTTTAACTATATTCACTGATGGTACCTCTAAAGGAACCTATGGATATGCAATTAATGGACAGGCCCATACTTATGCATGTAATAATTCCTCTGCCCAGCAAGTGGAATTACTGGCTATGCACAAAGTTTTTTCAACATATGTTGATCAAGAAATCAATGTATATACTGATAGCCAATATGTGGCTAAGGTAATGCAAAACTTAGAA